AAACGAAGAATAAATATTGAATACATCTTGGTTAATTTTCCATACGTCCTTCGGATTATTACCGCTCTTAATACAACTTTAATGATAATCAGCTAATTGATAGGCCCGATATGCTTGAGAGTAATCGTGTATCGTCTCGGACATGATGTTGATCATCAATTTTATCAATTGAACTATTTCCCTTTCATATGCCAAGTTTATATGAACAAAGTGCACTTTGGCTCATAAGAAATATTTACATTGTCTCGGTCCGCTCTTGAAAGCGACCACTTCAAACAATTTATCTCGAATCGATTCAAGTCCATCATTTCGCAAATTGTTTACATTGCAAACAATGTTCATTTAATTTATACAAATCGAACAATGTTAGAGTTTTCAAACTTGCTGAATATTGAAAAGAAAGATTTATAATTTCTGGAACTGTTACGAATGTAACGAGCGATTGACACTACTGAAAATATCATTTCTCACTCGATTCCATCTATACATATTTGAAGAGAATGTAGTGCAGATGTTCTTATGTTTGAATTTACGTTCACACAATTTTGAATGCCATAGAATGCATCCATTTTAATCGAAAAATACGAAGCAAGGAAAACATTGGAAGATTACCAATAAGTTGCTTTATTGCTGTAGTTGAATTTTATATAGCTGTTGAACGTGTTGCATTGGGAAAAATTCTTGTGCTGGAAAATGAAAGCTCTACATATCTAAAATTAAATGTAGAAAATATTTTCAAGCACTTTGATTCCGATTGCGTACGTGAAGTGATTTCGAGAACGATTATTACTGTACAAAATCAAATGAGCTAACGTCCGCGATCAAAATTAACAAATGGAAATGGGAATTCAAAAGGGGTTGTCATCATTTTCTTTCTCTTTTTCGTTGCAGCTGGGCTGATATTCAAATCTCTTGAGAATGCTCGACTTCGAGCCAGAGAACGAAAGTGTTGAATCGAATGCAGTTTTCATTCAGAATAAGCCGTAATTAGAATCTCATATAAATTCATCGTTAGGAAACGTGCGTCAATGGCAGGCGTTGAACATTTAGCTGGCGCTCTCAGCCCAGTTTGCATCACCAATGTTAATCACAAAATCGTCCGACCAAAGCCGAGGCGGTAAGTGCATCTACTTTGATTTATTAATCCACAAATGAAACTGAAAATCTATATGCGATTCAAATGAAATAGAAAATAAGCTCGATTGCCACATTTTTTCCTGAATCTGATGATAACAAAAAAAAACCGCAGAAATACACCCATAATTTCGCTTCCATCGCGTGCCACATCATTTCGCGATCATAATCTAAAATTTCTTTGCAATTTTTTTCGCTGTCGTTTTTTTTACATTCTGCGCTTAAAAACTCCCGCGCATTTATTAAAATATGTAAGCCATGGCTTGAACAGATGCAATGCAGCACTAGCATCTGCAATTAATTTTCTTTTAGTTGCTTATTGTTTGCTGGAATGTTTTTTTCCTCTTGTTTTAAGAGTGTTATGTGGCAAAGTGAAAAGTGCAAGTGAAAAATTGCACTGTAAATAATAAAATACAAACGAGAATTGAAGATCAAAGATGCGTCAAAGGGAACTAATGCTATCTTTTGCATTGGCACACTGCAACCGAAATGATGGTAAACTTTATCAATCGGTCGTGGATGGAAACGAGAGAATACAGACGAAAAGATGGGAGAGAGGAAAAAAAATGTACACAAACTGTGTTCAGCGTCTGAAAGCGAGATGAAAGCGTGGGAGCTGATGGGAAAATACTCGTGCATACCCAGCCATTGTTGTTGATTGCTCACTTTTTTCGCTACTCTGGATATGCTCTTTTACATTGTGTTAATAATTTTTAGCTTGGCTGTGATGCTCTAACATTCACATAATCAAACGAAATATGCTATCCTCGATAATATTCCATCTCTGATGGTTGTTAATAACAAGGTTTTGGATTTTTAATCGGTTATGCATTTAAGCAGTGCGTGGTGAATAAAATCAACACGAGCCGAAATGAAAGTGTTAGTGACCCGACCTGTGTATAATACATCAAACGATTAATTAATATCTATACATTATCATTGATTATCTCTAAACATTTTTATGTTTCTTCTTATGTGTGTGCGAATTTAACCAATCGCACAATGAAGAGCGAACCAAATGAACCGCTCGGAGAAAACCAATTATGACAGTTCAGTCATATGTTTATTCCTTGAATCGTTCGATTGCTTTTGTGTGAATTTCCAAAATCTTCGTCAACGGATTTATTCATCACATTTTTTTCCTTCAAATACTAATTTGACGTCTTTTTATTGTTTCACTTGAAATTTGAATGGAACAATCGCATGCGTGAATATGCAACAGTGCTATTGAACTCGATACAATTTGCTGTGCAGCTATGAAATGAGAGAAAAATGATGGCAGGTGAAAAAATAATAAAAAAGCAATATAAATAAACTTAATAAAAAAATGCTACTTTTTATATATTCAGCCATTTGCTTTCTATTTCATTTTCAAGAGCATCCTAAAATGAAGTTTTTGTATAATGGAATTAAAAAACGTCTCACCTTTTTCTCCATTGAAAAAATTGAAGACATTTTTTGTTGCTTGCCATATTTGTTTGTTGTATTATTTCTCTAACGCCAAACATGCATGTGGTATCAAGATCAGATAATTCACTTGAAATATGGAACTTCGAAAAAGTGAAATATTCCATTAAATTTGAATGAAACAACTAATAAATCCGTCCGTCATCTGTGAATTCAATCAAGCATTCAGCAAAAAAACTACAAGTTCAATTCAATCTCTCTGGAAACGAAAGCAAGAACAACAATCGTTCGCTATATTTTGGATAGACGCACATTCAATTGTTATTCAAAGTTGCGTTCGCATCAACTGATGACGAGAGTCACAAATTCCCTTAGCAGCGAAATGGGAAGAAAAATTCTCACTTTTAATAATTTCGGACTGTGGTTCACTCCAAATGGTACGATTTGTTGAGTAAACGAAGCCTGTGCGAAATTCTATGATCCAATTAAGTTAGCCGTAGCGGTTCTGGTCTAGTGACTTTGAATTTCTTGAAGCAACACGCGAACAAAACAAATCAATAGAACACACATTTTTCGTGGATTTAATTATTGTTTATGGTATTTTACCAAAAATAGAACAATGGTTCTGCTGCTTTTGGTGATTTGATCAAATGGTTGATGGAAATGACGATGGCAATGAAACACCAAACGCTCGCGCATCTCTGCTCCTAATAATATACAATTATAATGTTATTGCAGTCAATGAACTATAAAACTTTCGGATGAGCTTCATTTGAATGTGAATGCGAATGCGAATGTGAAGTAAGAACAATGTCGAATGTCTTTTCATGAACCAACGTTCTGGTACGAGCGAGCAAAAGATTTTGGAGCTGCGATTACGATTTTCGATAGCTGCCTAGAAAAACAGAAAGAAACACTCCATGTATTTATAATTGAATTGCGTTCACATAGCTCATATGCTAACGGCAGATTAGCACTACACCATGACGAAGAACCCGCTGTACGCATGCATGCATAATATATATAAAGTGATCGCTTGAATTCAATGCAAATGTAATGCGCAAGAGATTCATGCTAAGCAGATACAGATACAGATACAGATACAGATACAGATACAGATACAGACTATGGAAACACACAACAAAGTGCGTACCTGTGCATCAGCAGCAGTAGCAGTAGTAGTAGCAGCAGCAGCAAAAAGTCGTTATTATTATTCTGTTCGCTTCATTTTAATTATGTGAGAAAGAGTTTTCTGGCTACTGCCCATTTAAACAACTAGCGACTGAAAAAATAGAAGTGTTCAAAAGGCCAAGTGTAGATCTTTGCCAGTGTGTGTGCAATAATATTGCAACGCTAACGATCAGCCATAGTTTGAGAGTTTTTGTACTGTCGTTGAGCAAAACACTCCGTTTTTTCTTCCATATAAAATTTCTCATATACAAAACAGTATGACAATCGCGGGACGGATTTGTATTATCTTCTCTTTTTCTGTTACTGTCATTTTGCATTGTTTCACCTCGAGACTGTTTTTGTGGCCCTTTTCGTGTGCTAGCTTACTGTTGGATCTTGCATTGATGTGTGATGAATTTTAAGTTGCACCGAAATTCGATCACTTGAGTTCAATCTTTGGTGCGAAACGAATAGCTGTTGCATCGTTTCAGTGCGCATTGTATTGAATATCATCACTTTTACTTGCGAGTACAAGTATCGCACTTATCGCAGTAGGACCGTCACTGCTTGAGCGTTCCCACAGCTGAAGCTCAATTCGGATCAAAAGCCTAGCACCAATTCACTTTTCGATGAAATGAAGAAAAAAACTTTTGCTCACAACAAATGAATGACTGAATCGTAGCCCATTGTTTTGAATTAAAATCAAATAGTGAGTGTAATTATGAACACACAATAAAAAACACAGAAACCAAACGAAACAAAAAGGAAATGAACAAGAGAGAAGAAGCACAATGCATGCGCGAGATACGAATATGTATTATTGAAAGCGTACCCACAATAGATCGGCAATTAAAATTGATAATAGTAGAGCAGAAGTGAGGAACGAAATGGCAGAAACAATCACAGCATACGCAAATTGATCACCTCCCACAAGCGCTCACTCATTCATACGCAATGGATCAAATGGAAGCCCAAACAACAATCACTCAACACCAAGCTCATCATCGGATTTGTACACATACACACAAGTACATACACACACATATATATGAATACGTGTATATCACCTGTGGTGATATATATACATGTGATATCAACAGTGATGGCAAACAATACGAGGCACAAGTCCCTCTATACTACCGAATGAAGCATTTTTTGGGTTTTCCTAACCGATTGATACTATTTTTTGGTCTGGTAGATGAATTTCAGTCTTTAGATTGCTTTGTAAAGAATCGGATGTGAATCGGTGTATTTTGCGTGCGCGTATTCTACTACTAGCTCACCACCAATCACATCACTACTAGCCATGATTGATTGCGTGCTTCGAACGATTGATCGTAATTGCATAGATTTGATGTTGTGATAAAAAGAAAACACAAGCTTTGTGCGTGAGCTGCTTTTTTTCAGTTTGTAACGTTTTTAACGCCAATGCTAGCTGCAACGTTGCTAAGTTAATTTTTACATAAATTCGTCTAATTCGATTAGTGTTCAAATCAACGTAATTACGAAAAATTACGATCTGTGAAAAAGCATCTCAGTTGAAATTGTGAAGAAAAAAACTGTAAAACTCAAACGAAAACGGACTGCTGATGGAATTGATTTGTAATCTCGCACATTTCTTTGGCATGCGTAAAAAATATGATAAATGCTTGTTGAACAGCACGCCAGTTCTTAATGGATTTGGGAAATTGATTTCGAACGCATACGAAATACCTGAACAAAGCCGAAACATTTAGCAATCAAGAAGATCGCCGCCGCCGCCACCGCTACCGCTGAAATATTTAGCTTCATTAATAGAAGAAGAAAAAAATAATGGAAACAAAACGTTATTTGGATGTTATTGCGTTAAATGAATGGTGATTAGTTGTGGATTGGTGCTTTAACAATTGGAGATTATATCGACATTTACAAGAGATCATACAGCCCAAAGCTAAATCGATCCAATTGTTATGATCATTAAATGGATAAATAGCGAAGATAGAAGAAGACGCAAGTTTTGTGATGTTCGCATAAAAAAGCATTCAAGTTTCGCTGCGTGAAGTGTTTTTTTTACATTGTGCCGCCCATTGCGCATGAATCACTTGAGGCCAGTAATTAGCATTAGATGGTGAATTGAATTTCGATGAAGCAATTAAATATGTTAACAAAGTCGCTAAGTTGCAACGAAATCTGGACGAAGCAAGTGATGCCAGAGTGTGCTTCGCAGCCACAAAACGACACTGATTCGGCATTGGCTGCATCGAAGCGCCATAAATCCAGTGATAAGTTAACCAAAACTAAAACGGAAAATCACAAAACAGTCATCTATTTTGGTGATTCGATATCCAGTAAAAAGCAACATAATCAGCTTCAACAACAAATGAAAGCGCAACAAATCTCCGCGAATCGGATGAACGGCAACGATGTGACAGACGAACGATCAGATTTGAGGCATGCACAACGTTTGTGCGACGAAATGGTGTTTAAGCGACAACAATCCGTTCGAATGCAATCGAAAAGCAATGAAGCTCATTCGAAATGTCCCACCGAAGAAGTTGTAACCGTAGTGAATGATGTGAAAATGATGAAAAATGAGTCAATCAACTTGGTGAAACATTTAAAAACGGTCTTGGAAGAGAAATGCCAACAAAAAAGTGTCAAAACTGCAATTTTGGTGGAGGGCAAAAAAGATGAAAGTGACAAAAATCTGAACAATTCAAATGATATGACCAATTGCAGCGATGCAAAGACCAGCAAAGTGGAAGTTGGCAAGAAATTGCCATCGTTCATTGAAAGCATTGTAAATGGTGTGATCAATATAAAAATTGATGAAAGCTACGATGCAGCTACGAAATTAGTGCGATCAATTGAAAGCCCCGACACTGACGATGCAGACAGTTTCGATGCAATCGAAGATGGAAATGATTTATTCTTAGATATTGGCGGTGAAGTCAATAATATGTATGGAGTTATGGATTGGAGTTACGTACAAGAATGGCGAAAACAAGATTGGCGATCCCGGTAACTTTTCATAAATCTATCGAATGACTCATTCCGTGTTTAATCCGGTGCTCGGAATACAAGCTCACCCGCACATTCATTCTTTTATGGTCCAATTATTGTTTCAATTGTTTGTTAAAGTTAATGTAACACAATATTTATAACGTAACATGTACAAACAATAATAGTTGATAAGGTTTTATTTCTAGTAATTTTTTCACGACAGTTTGCTCTCCTTAAAAAAACATTTTTACGATCCAAACGTAATTATATATTTTCGTACAGGCCATCTGGAAACACACGTGACGTTCCACTATTTACAGCCTATATTCCACCAAATCCGAATTCCTCTCCGTCAGTAGTACCTTGCAATGCCAACAAGGTCAACAGAAGTCCTTCGAATGGAATGAATGTAATGAGTCCTCCTTCAGCACTGCCAATGAATATGAATTCATCGATCCGTGTTCACAGCCCGGCTACAGCAACACCTGCAATTAGAACTCCAAAAGAGGTGGCCTTTCGGCCAAAAGGTGCATATATTTTATTCAGAAATTATTTTTTAAATGGTTTTTTTTTCATTTCTATATTTTTCATTCGTTTGACTAAACTTGGCTATTATTGGAACTTTATAGGAAATGATCAAAGTCCAATGAATGAATTTAATTCAGTAACCCCATCAAATATGCCAGGTAATGTGTCGACGACGACAAATACAAGCACAATTACGATGTCGCCCAAGAGTGTGGATACCATCGATGGCTCGATGAGTCATGGTGGAAATTCAAATGCAACTACTTGTTTGATTGGAACAGTTACGACCAATGGGAACATGACTAATTTGAGCACAATGATTCCTGAGCGTGACACAAATGGCCAATCAATGGTAACGAATATGAAAATGAAATCCATGAACTGTAAACCAATTCCGCATCGACCAATAGCTGGACCAGCCAAGCTCACCATACAAAGTATTCCCGTTAAATCACAACCACCAATGCTTAGCTCGAATCTGAGCAACCAGCGAAAAGTGATGCATGGTAATTTAAATGAAAATCAATTGATGAACGGCAGTGTCAATGTACAAAAATACAACAACAATAACAACAACAACAACAACAACAACAACAACAATGCACTCAAATCTAAAGCAGTCGTACAAAGTACTGAAGCATCACAGAATCTATTGAATCAACAGAAAAATACAATAATTATGCGCACACATCATCACGGTGGTACTAACGAAATGGTCCGTGGTCTGCAGCGTGTTCAAGAATGTCATAGCTCTTCAGACGAAAACCGTTCCTCGGGCCATGCCTCGATGTCTGACACTGGTCACGGAAGTAGTTCACCTGGTTGTGGTAAGTGTACATTGTCTACATTTCCTTTGAAAGTTCATTTTATATGGTGTAAATTGCCCATGCTTGAGCTTCAATATGAAAAATTAAGAAAATTTATGACGATATTGACAGCAACGCGCACTTTATCATTTCAAGGGAAAAAATATTTGAAGAGGGGTTAGTACATCCCACTGGTCCATGTGATCCCATTTCAACAGTTGAGATGTTATATACAAAATTTTCCGTGAACGATGGTTATAAATGTGCTTACAATATTTCTCATTAAATTTATTTTAACAATATAGCCCTAGGCCCGTTGCCAGAAGACCGTTTAGCTGCTGGAGTGACAAATCGAAGCACAAGGTCCAGCACAAGTGCGGGCCATTCAAGAGCGCGACATCGATCAACACCCGCCAAAGGGCCGTGGAATGGGAACGGTCTTGAAGATATCAAACTAGCAATACAACAGTTGACAATGCGATCGCAAACTAGCACCAGTACGTACAGTAGCCTCAGTGCTGGTTCTGAAATGGAACCTCGTCGATTGGGTCGATATTCATCACTGGAAACAGTCAACACAAACGTAACAAGTGCCGATGAATTTGTTTGGATTGATTCACATAATCGTCTGGTTGAGTTACAGCATCCACCATGGAGTCAACACTGTTTACTGCGTGTCGTTCGAACGGGACGTTGTCGTGAATATTCTGAGCGCATATCGCTTGAAACGATCCCTCGACTTGGATATTTGCTGCAGAGAGCTCTCGTTCGGGTAGCACGAGAAATTCAACGTCTATCGACCGGATTGGGTTTGTGTTCGAAACATGAAGTAGCTGGTGCATTCAAAATTGTACTCTGTCCAGCATTGGCTGGATCGTGTATTAAAGCGTTTTTGAGAGCAGCCGCAATGTTTGGTGTGCCGGGCGACAGTTCACTGCGACAGAGTAAGTCCTCACGTGCTGGACTTCAATTATCCGTTGGCCGTTTTCATCGTTGGATGTCTGATGCACGGCTCGGGCGATTTGTGCACGAATATTCAGCGGTTTATTTGTGTGCCGGCCTCGAGAATTTACTTGAAGAAATAATTCTTCAATGTATTCCATCCGACCCAACTTTATCCCTGACTGCAACTGGACTAGAACACTCTATTGCAACTAGTGGTGATTTGTGGGGACTTTTGCAGCCCTATGCCCATTTGAATGCCGGCCGTATTGCATCTGGTGCTTTGACAATGGGTAAGAGTTGGGCAAGCCAGTCATCGATTGGCTCAAATCCAAACATTCCAACCAATTCACCGTGCCTATTAACCACTTGCGTTGGAAGCGTTGCCGAACTAAAGGATCTGGTACTTCGAGCACAAAATAAATTCAATCACACAGCTTTGTCGCACACCGCCCTAGTGGCTCTATTCTATTTCATGCGTTGTTCACAGCTTGAACACAATGAAGGTATTCTTTCCCGATGATTGCATTATTTTTGTTTATTTTTTCATTAAAATTTAACTATCTTTTACAGAGAGTAACAGTGCATCGAATGGAAATAGCAGTGTGCAAGAGCTGTGCTATGAGAGAGCATACGTTGTTTTGCCGCCACTTGTTGAATGGCTTCGAGTTGCCTCGGCTCATGCGGAATATCGTCATTCTCTCATCATCGATAGCGATGACATAATGCAAGCGGCCAGGCTGCTTTTGCCCGGAGTTGATTGTTCTCCTAGAGCTGTTGGTTCTGATGAGGAACTACCACCGAAGAGAAGCACATTTTCAATGAAACCACAGTCGCCTACACAAATTCAACCATCAATCGTTTCAAACCCAAATGTTCACGTAAGAAATTTAAAAAAAAACCATATCAACCTTTCTTGGAATTGGAGAGATTCTTCCATTCAATTCTTCATTTGAACTATTTTAAATTCAAACAAACTATTCCAGGTTATCATTGATGATAATGAATATGCAAGAAGAGCGACTATAGCATTAGCATTTCGTTTGATGCTCACTGGACGACCAGAACTCCTAATACAAGCTGGAACCCTTTTGCCATCATCAACACGATACGATACTTTAAATCAAGCTGGTATGACGGCACTGATGATCGCCGCCATTCGAAATGATGAAATGGCTATACAGCAATTACTGGATGCAAATGCTGATCCAAATGTAGAGGTACCTTCAATCGGTCTCTCAACATGTTCGGCCATCCATCCGGAAACTCAACACTGGACAGCAATCACGTTTGCGGCATGCCGAGGTATTCTATTGATTATACTTCTAATTACTATTCCATCTAGAGGCTAGGAACAAGTTGTGTCATTCGTATGTATTCGCATATATTCATGCGTTCGTGGCTTTGTTATTGTTGTTGTAAACTCACTGCGCTGCGAATGTCTCGTATACACAATCACAAGAATTCACGAATATTCGTACGAATTCGTCTCAAGCGCTTGTGTTCCTACCCCCTAGTATTTCATCAATCGAATGCTTTATGATAAAAACAACGCATAATGTGTTCACGTATCAAAGTACAACCCAGAATACTTTCAGAAAAAATATTTTCTTTTAATTTCATTGACTGTGATTGCAAATATACATTAGGAAATTATAACGCTGTGCGCATGCTTTTGGAGCGCGGTGCGAATGTAGAAGGTGGCGCATGTTTGAGTGATGATAAATGCACGTTGACACCACTGCAAGTGTCGAGTGGCTCTGGATCGGTTGACATCGTAGCGCTGCTGCTGTCGCATGGCGCCAATGCATTTTTGTCCACACAACACAAGGATTCACTTTGTTTCTCGGGAACAGCACAGCGCGGCTGCTATAGTGCAATATCTGTAGCTGCTGCACACGATCAACGGGCCACATTGCGAAAGCTTTTATCTCATCCGTTGGCACCGGTTAGTCAAGAGGTATTGTCACTGGAAGAAATGCTTGCTGAGGGCGATAACAATGCACGAAATCCAAATATCGAACGTCAAAATGAAATTCCACCATCCATGACAAAAACCCAAATTAAATGTCTGCAAGAAGCAATGTATCACAGTGCGGAGAACAATCATTTAGGTGAGCTGTATTCCAAATAGGAAATGAATTCTCAAATACGCACTCAAAGTCGTATAATCGCCTACATTGTTGCTTTGAAAGATGACATTTTATAAGAAGCTAAACTTTTTTATGGTTTTATTTATCGGAATAGACATAACAATTGAACTCCGTGCACTGGGCGTACCATGGACTCTGCATTGCTGGATGCATGCTTTATCCGCTGCACATGAGCTACGGCTCGATTCAGTTATTGATCAATTATTGCAGGACTTCCTGCAAGTGTGCCCAGACGATTACAGTTCGCAATTTGTCACAGAATGTCTTCCATTATTATTCAATATTTTTCGCTACAGCAAGGTAAGTCCTTTGGACCATTTGATGAGAATAACAACTATTAATGTCTAACCTGACTGGGTTTGGATATTGCAGAAAGAGGGAACAACGTTATTGTTAGCTGATATATTTGCGACGTGCTTCGGCTGGAAACCTATAAAACCAATAAAAGAGCCTGTGTTGCAACCGGCGAATGGATCACGCATCGATCCGAAATTTGTGAATAATCCGGAGCTGAGTGACGTTATGTTCAGGTAAACAATTTTTATTATCGTACCACGTTCGTTCATTTATCAAATAATAAAAGCAAACATCAATAAAACCATGCCGTAATACAATCTGATTATGAGAACGCCGATTTGTTCAGCCTTTTTTTCAAAAATGGAATACGAGTAATGGAAAAGAGATAGCAAAAAGTTGCCATCGGGCAAATTTGCAGAACATGGCCAATACTACACATTTTCCGAAGACCATTTCCTATTATGTCTTTTCTTATTATTTGTAATGCAAGCTTTAAAAAAAATGCCACAAGAACATCCGTCCCTTTTTGTCTCAACAATAGAAATGACAAACAAAACAACAACGCTTATGTCTTTTATACACTGTTTGATTTGCAGAGTGGAGGGTAAAATATTTTATGGTCATAAAATAGTTCTTGTCACAGCATCACCACGCTTCCAAAGTATGCTGAGTTCGAAGCTGAGCGACGGAAATACACCGACCGTGCAGATCAACGACATTCGGTATCATATATTCCAAGTGAGTAACCACTTCACATTTAATGACATCATGACAATAAAACTGATTTTACCATTTCTTTTTCTTCTTCTGGATCATCATTTCCATTTATACTCGGTTGCATTATGCAGTTGGTCATGCAATTTTTGTACAGTGGTGGATGTAATTCATTCGATGTCGTTGCACCCGGTGATATACTGGAATTGATGGCAGCCGCAAGTTTCTTTCAACTAGAGGATTTGCTACGATACACAGAGGCCCGGTGCTCGCAAATGATTGACATCGATAATGTGGTGGCCATGTACATTCATGCCAAGGTATGTTGCAGAATGCTCTACTCGTTGCATTTTCAACTAAGCACTGTGCCATTCAATGAGTCACATACACATGAAAAAAATAAATTGTTTCATTTCAGGTTTACAACGCACCAAAGTTAATCGAGTATTGTTATGGCTTCCTACTACAGAACATGGTTGCATTGCTCACTTACGATGATTCAGTGAAGCGGTTGCTATTCGCCAAAAAAATTCCCAACAACGATGTACTCAATGGTTTACTAGAAACACTACAGTCACGCATTAAGAAGCGACGTTCGGTTCAAAGCCCCGGCAATAATGCCATTCGACCACCAGCTATGGTGGCTGTTAATAAGATGGCAAATAATAATAAACCCTGAAACAATAAGCCCAGTTTGCAATTTAGTTTATTTATCCACCTTCAAGAATATTTCCCATAGCTTTGTAATTATAACAATCGATTTTTCTTTTTGTTTTTTTTGTTTTGTTTAATCATTTCAACCCATAAATTGTAATGAAATTGCATCCATTCGAAATTCCACATTAGACTGTGAATTTAAGAAGAAATAATTTTCTTAAAATCCATATTTGTTATTTTGAATCGCAATGTCGATTTTTATCATCGAACCGATCATGTATCATTTGAAGGTAATATTATTATTTATAACTTTGGAATGAAGTTTTTATGGCAGACAATTGTTCATTTGAATATTTTATCACAATCATACCCATTATATATGTTTTTTTTTTCATGAGAATGTTAACCGTCCACTCTCATTTTCAATTAAATTTATGCGGATTCTACTTTGTTATTAAACTAAGGTAATCTTCTAGTTTTAGAATGTAGGAGAATTAATTGTATTTTATCAAATCGAATCATATCGTATCGTATCACAATTAAATGTTCAAATTTTTTCCTTAAAAAATAAATGTTCGTGCTGGTTATTTTTTCAGCTTTCTGAATTATGTCTCAAATGAATGAATGTTTCGGTGATTTTCAGGTTCATATGAAGTTGAGGTCGGTAGATTTTCAGCTTCATATGAAGTTCGAATGCGCGAAGTGCTGTTGTGGTCTCGTTTTCCAATTGATTTCGAATCCTAGAAAAGGAATGGTGAGAGTTATGATCGAATTGAACGTAAATGAAGAGCTAGGTAAATGAGTGTACAATACAATACACGTCATGCAAAAGGCAAACAAATGACTGAAAGAGTGGCGGCACGAGATGCTCAGTTGTTGAGAAAAAACGATGACACTCGCGACCAAAGTGTAAATTCCTCTGCCAAAATCGATTCGTCGTTCGTTTGCGTTTACTTCGCCGTTGTTTCGAATATGCTTACCGGATTTGGTCCCGTCTTTTTTTCTTCAGTTCTTTTTTGTTTTGTCAAGCAAAACTTGTGTTTTTGCAGAGCATCGTTTCGAACGGACTCGTTAACAAATTTCATGTATACCTTGGGTGTCAATTCTATGCTTTGCTTTGCTTTGCTTACGTTTCGTACCCATCTTACGAATGAATGGAATAGATTTTAATTCTATTCAACTAGATGTTATGTATACAACGAAAACGACAATGACAACATTCAATTGAAGCAAAAACGAGGGCATTGACAAGATGCCGGTTTGATTGAATTAAATTCATCTTAGCATACGAATTCACCAACGCCCGTGCACAGCAGGCTAGCTCAATTCGCTGGATAACTTCAGCAACATGATGAAACAATGGATCGCCTCCCCCGAATTTACGTTGTTGAATTCTTGCATTCTCCACTTCGTCGACTAGCTCGTTGGCATTTTTTTTTTCTTCGTTCACTCGCACCTTGAATCATTTTCAATTTCCTCAATTGTTTCACTCCTGCAATTGCGCCACTTTTTTTTCTCTTCTTCTCCCGATTGTTGTTGCTGTTGTTGTGTACAGTACACCCAATAGCTACTTGCTTTATTTGTATTTGTATTGGAATTTTAAATGTCGCGCTACTTATCACTTTGAAATGAAATCGGGAACTGTTAATGGAGCTTAAATTGTTTTACAGTATTTGCAATGCCATTTTAATGGGATGCTGCCAATTCTACTTGAATAACAAACGAATGCTACGCATTCATCAATATAATTCGTTGGACCTACTGATTTTCCGCCTTGTTTGTAATTTGATGTGAATGAACTCTCTAATGGAATGACTACGTTGACATTTTACGGGGAACCAAAATGCCCCCTTGGATATTGTTTTGAAGAGTGCTTCATAGCTAGCTATGGCATATTTCAACGCTTTAATGGTGGAGGCGACCGAGATGTTATTCAAATTTTATTTGTCTTTAAAACTTAAACGGCGCATATAGTGAAAAAAATTGGGAAACATTTATTTTGCGTACTTCTTCCCGCACCCACAAAAAATGAGATGTAAGAAGAAATTGACGTTTTTCAACTGCGCTTTGATGCACCCTAATTCTTTTTTTTTCAAGTGAATATGTATGTTGAACGATTCGCTTAAAGTTGAATTTTTTAGAATGAAATGAACAGAATATTTTGGAAAAATAAAAAAGACACATTCCAGTATAAAATGTGGAAATATTGTGTTTGAAGAAAATCAAGTGTATTAATTTGACACCGTGCAGGATGCACATGTTACCACTGCAGCAAAATACAAACAAACCAAATTTCCTTTTAAAGGTTTGCATGGACTATGTTAATGCACTGCGAACGATCAATTTTTGTTCGTTTTTTCAAAGTTTTTTCTACTGCTTACATTATTCCATAATTTCATCAGATTCGTCATTTTTTAAATTCTATTTGTTCTTCAAATATTGATACAATTTGTGTTTGTTTCGTCAGTAATATGTGTTTGAAAACCAAAATACCAACACTCACATCCTTTTCATCGTTTATTTTAACAATTGCACGGGCTCCGAATGATGTTTAGTGTCTAAATTGGGACTCTGTTCTGTGAGTCAAACCATGTGAAATTTTGCCCTTTTTACATCTTATTAATTTGGTTGCCATCTGAATGTGTAAATTTGTGGAATTCGGCGAATAATTATTTCATACCCTAAAACCATTTTAAGTGTTTTTTCTATTAAATTTGGACGAAAATTAATTTTCAATACGCGACGATACAATATTCTTGATATTACGGAATATGCCCACTAAATTCAAATTAATTGGGACTTTCAATAGATACTTCACCTATACCTTCTGCTCTCTACCTTACATCGTTCGTACGTCATCGAACTAGATTTTACATCAAATGAAGCTCAAAACAAACTTGAGCGTCTAACTGATCGCTCCAGTCGTTTTAATAGAAAAAAAATGAAACTTGAAAATGTTTTTAGTTATTTTTGCTATCATCTCCATATGGAAATACATACTCAATCAAATTGAGCTAATATAAGAGATACCTATACATGAACGACGCGTGTAGCAAAGTCAACAAGCAAATGTTCCAAAATGAAAAATGACTGCTTTAGATGTGGGAATACTTGATAAAGTGAACATCAATGAAAACCAACCCTTTTTTCATTCTTAGAAAAAATTCGTGAAAAACGACCGTCTTTTTCCCTCAGTCTTTGACGGTGCGCCCTATGAATATTTTCGCTTCACAACCGATAAAAATTATAACACCATTATGAACAAAAAAAAAAATTCGAAAGCAATAAAAAGTAAAGATGACGAACAGAAGGAAAAAGATCGACAAATCGTATCAAACAACATCATTAAAAATCGCGTTTGGAATTTACCATTGCCTTTGTGTTATCCATGGCAACCCTATTTTTTCTTCATCTCTCGAGTTTCATTGTTGTTGTTTTTTTCATATTCCCCCAAACATAGTAGAACATGTAAAATCAATTCACTGCTGTTTGGTATACATTTGCGGTTCTACTAGCATGTACGCTGCTAGCAGTTCACGAAGACACTTTCTTTCACCTTTTATCATTCCGTCTCAAATCTCGTTCATTGTTACTCCATTTTCGAACCCTCGCAAACTCTCTCTCTCTCGCTACCTACCTCTATTGTGTTTTTGATCAGCTTCTCTTTTTTGCACAGTAATTCCTGGCTTTTTAACGGCTTTAACATGAGGTAGTAAGGGAAAAAAGTCTATCGAAATATTAGCGCGGCACAGCAGAGAGTTCAGGATGGCGTGGGTTACAATCAGAATCCGAAATGAAATTGTTTCAAAGCATACATGTTTTATTGCACACTTTTACACCCAGAACACATTTCATCGCTGCTTTTCATACATTATAAATTCACTTAACACAATACGTGTTTGTATCTGCTTCTGGCATAAAGTTACAGACCTTTTACAAATTCTACTCGAATTTGTCTTATCTTCAACATAACCATTTTTTCTACTGCGCCGCCGTCGACATTGCACTCTACTTTCGGTCTTTTCTTTTTCTAAGAAATTTTTCATACTTTTTCCGTTCATTTTGGAAGCAAGTCCAAGACTAGGGCGTCAACAAAAGAAGAACAATCGCAACTTTTCTTCCTTTTTATTCAAAACTAGCTGCGAAGCTGAGCGAAGCGAATTTTTTTTCAAAATTACAATACACTTCAGAATATTTGTTTATTGGAAGATATTTTAGATATAAGGTATCGATAGCGTGAGAAAAATCAAATAGATTCCATAGAAGCGTTTTATTCTATTTTCTGACACGAAAATAACTTTAACCTTCTAGTGTATTAATATTTTCCAAGGCTGAGGCTACTGGTTCTTGTTTAAGCCTTTAATGCGCTTTTTTTTGAACGATTTTGGTATATGTTTGTTATGTGCCTCGATTCATAAAGAAAATCCTTGTATTTAGACAAAAGTCGCGCACAGTACATAAGAGTTAATGCAAAAGTCATTTGATGCGCATAAGTAGCGCCATCTTCTATGATTGCTGAGAGTTACCATAAGTCGTCTGAAATTGATGTTGAGAAAAGGAAGAAGTAGACACTCTATACATTTACATTGCAATAACGGCAATCAGTAGAGATGGTGCTCATGTGCCGATCAGATCACTGTTACAGCCCTTTGTATTTGGATCATTGGAAAATTGCATATTTTTTGAGAAAATCGGAAAAAGTCAAAAGTTGACACTTCGCTGTAGCAGCCTGAAAACTACTTGAAAAATTGTTCCATTTCGAACAGTTGAGGAGTTACGAGACTTCGAAAATATCTGTTGATAGCGGCAAGTGATTTTGAGCCCTGTTCTTTGGTGTTATGCTTTTCGAAATTTATTGGACTTCACATGAGGGACATTTTATTATGCCACCAGTCTACTGTGCACTGCAGTCATCACCGAAGCTTTGATCTGCAATAAATCAGCAGGAGTGTCTCTTCGACTTAACCTCACTAGTGGTGTGAAGAATGTTGGAAGTACGTTTACGCCACCGATTTTACATTTCATCTTTTGACTTCGATTCCATGACATAATCAACTTTTTCAATATTTATTCTGAATTTCTTGTCAATACACACATATCCTGGAAATAGTTTTTTATAAGTTATATGGCGTACATGAACTTTGTCGATCATTGCGATAAAAGTCTGACGGTCGATGATATTCTGGTTGATTTTCTTTTCCTTTTTCCAATTTTCATCTCATAACTTATAAGTGGAAATCAAATTGAGACTCTACTGTTGAGACTATATGTTGCTCCGACTTCAACTGCATTTCAATGAATAGCAATAGCATTTTCTGTGCTTCGCCTGTAATAAAACTTCTTTAATTATTGATGTGATGTTTTACGCTTCTTTTTGAGCTTTCTCAGAAGAAGTGGCGCGTTTTTATGCGTCCCGAATGACATTCCGTAAGCTTTATTGATACGCCACAGCTTTTACGACGGGTGCATCATCATTTTCACCTACAGCACGTCACCAAAACAAGCGTATGCGTCGCTCTATAGATGATTGCACACCACACGAAATCGAATTGGATATAATATGGCTGGTGGT